AGCTATCCATACTTGAGAGAAACAAGCACAATCCCATTTTAGTCATTCTGGTTTCTTCTGTGAAATAACTTACAAAGTATTGAGTAGGTTTTTGTTTTTGTTTTTTTTCTTTTTAGGTTCACAGTAATTCTTTTGAATACTCTGGTTGCCAGTATTTTCTAATTATTTTGGCTTTTTGTAATTTTAATGTTTTATGATACCAAAGATACCTGCCTGTTTGCCTTTGATAAGCTTTAAAGACTTAAATATAGACACGGGAGTTTAGTATAACTTAAATTGATTTTTATTTGTTAGGCAGAACTTGCTGTATTCTTTTCTTCAAAAATTATTTTTTCTTCAAGGCTTAATATTTTATTATATAAGTGTTGGGGCTTTCATTGCAATGGCATTGATTATATAAATAGAAATAGCTTTTCATATGTGTTTTGTACATTTTCTTTTTAAATGCTATGAGGCAGACTTTTGGTTTGTTTTATCTTTTCTTTTTTAGTGGTGATATTTTATCGTGTCCTAAAACTCAGTTACTGTAGTTAGCATAAAAGTTCAAAATAGTAGTCACTTCTCATTCATCAGATCTTTTGCTCATTTTGAGAATGACTACCATGGTACCTGTGTTGACATGCATTAGGGCCACTGTCTGTTTAGGTTTTTGTTGTTGTCATAAACATTTTTTTCTTAATCCTGAGATATAAATTAAGTTGTGAAGAATCAAACTGTCCCATTACCCCGGTGGACACTATCTGAATGTGAAGTTAGTATGTGACCGTGTTACATACTTGTAGAGAGAACGATGTGGTACCTTGCAGGTCAGACATGAAGGATATACCAGATTCAGACTTTAAACAAGCTGATCTTTTAAAACTGATCTTTCTTGTCCTGTTTCTCACCAATGAATAGAAATATTAAAATGTTTATCATTATTCTGCTGAAGCACATATTTACAGAGCACCCTTGTAAGGATTAAATGAGATTATTGGCATTAGGTCCCTAGCACATAGAAGATGCTTTTGTAATGTTGGTTTAGTTTCTGCTGTTCAGATCATTTTTTTCAGCCTTACTGTTTCCTTTTTATTTAGAATCTATAGCAGGAGACAAATCAGTATCCCATTCGTGCACAACTCCTTCTACGTCTTCTGCCTCTGGACTGAATCCCACATCTGCACCTCCTACATCTGCTTCTGCAGTCCCTGTCTCTCCTGTCCCACAGTCACCGATACCTCCACTACTCCAGGACCCAAATCTTCTCAGACAGTTGCTTCCTGCTTTACAAGCCACACTGCAGCTCAATAATTCTAACATGGACATATCCAAAATAAATGAAGGTGAGTTTTCATATTAATTTTTGGTCTTAAAAAAAAAAAACCTTTGTATCTGGTTGTTACTGGAGATGTGTTTAGTGTGGAGAATTTGTTAAAATTGGTATAAAGCCTTTTGTATTTCTAAAGTCTTGTGTGTGAAAAGTTACTTTGAAATAATTACACTTAATTACTGGAAGGTAAGGTAGTACTAGATATAAAGTTTTGCCCTTTTTTCTTGTTAATTACATTAATTCCAACATAATTTCTTAAGCATATTGCTAAAGTGTTTGGACATTTATCTCAAAGAAATTTGAACAGTGGTGAATGTGGCTTTAATGTGGAAACCATTCATATTCAAACATCAAGTCCTAAGGGCATTGCAGAGTTCTCTGATTAGAATAACCAACCTCTTTGTGCTTTTTTGTATAATTATTTAATAGTAACGTGATTCACTTCTGTGTCCTAAAAATACTCTGTCAGACTTGTTGACCCTTGTCTTTTCTGTATGTTTTTCTCTAAGATAAATTATGCAGTTCTTGAGCTTGATAGGTAAATGTTTTACTTAGATAAAATAAAACTTTTAAACAGTTTGAGAAAATGACAGAAGAATATATCAGTACAAGATCACATTTGTCACTGCTGGGGCAGATGTGATGTGTAGAGTTTGAGTGGTCAGCTCTTGTGAAAAGCGGTCACTAAATTACCAATATTTATCCAGTTAATCACAAATAATACATGGACTGCTTTACTCATATGTGTATAGACTTTGGCATAATCAGAAGTTCCAGTGAACATTCTGTGGTGTTTTTTTAAAGTTTGATGTAGGAATTTTATTAGTGTAAAAGAAATTATGGGCTTATCTTTATGGTAAACCAGTGAGTATCTTTTTCCCTGCCTCTAGCCATTTCTCATTTATTTCTGTGTTTTAGTTTCAAACATTCAGTATGTTACTAATGGTTCATAAGCCTCTTTGTTTTTATTTGAATTTAAGAAATAATGGGTTTTTAGTTCTTACAGCAGCTGTGACCCAAGCTTCACTGCAGTCTATAATTCATAAGTTTCTTACTGCTGGACCATCTGCTTTCAACATAACGTCTCTGATTTCTCAGGCTGCTCAGCTCTCTACCCAAGGTATTTGCTCATATACTTGGATTCTTCTACAGTTGTAGTTTGGTTTTGTTTTGAAATCAGAGCAGGTTAGTTTCTTGTTTTTGAAGTGATTACCCTACCATATAGATTTTCTTTTTTATATTTGATCAGTGGTTCCACCACCTGCCCTGAAAGTGTGCAAGGTCCTAAGTTCGATCCTGGTACCAAAATACACACGCACACACAGTGTATGTTGCTTTGCGCTTCCTAGCATCCCCTCCAAATCACCACTGCTTTTCCTTTTGCTTTGGACATCCTGGGCACTATCCTACTGTGCACTTTCGCACAGCTGTGACAGTGTCTGTCAGACACAAGAGCTATTTCTGGGATTTGTTTGCATCTGCATAATTTGAGATCCATTTGTATCTGTGAAAGTTCTCATCTGGAATGTTTGTAAGTCAAGGACTTATTTACTGTATATATTTAATTCCGAATTTAAATCATTAGTAACATACTTTACTCCAGAGCTGAAAGTAAACTTTCATAAACCCTAAATCTTTGTGAAATATTCCATATATTAAAAGACCTGAAGCCGGGCATGGTGGTGCCACACCTGTAATCCCAGCACTTGGGAGGCTGAGGCAGGAGGATCATTGTGAGTTCGAGAAAAGCCTGGGCTACATAGTGAGTTCCAGGTCAGTCTCAACTGCATAGTGAGACCCTGTCTCAAAAACGTAAAAAAAAAAAAAGAAAAAGAAAAAAGACCCGAAGTTTGTTTGCAGTTGATGTTACATGATTGTTGACTATCACATATGGTTAAAGATGTGCTTAGTTCCTGCTATGAATGAGCAAATATTCCTCTTGATGAAAGTATCCAAATGGACTAAACGGGTCACTCTGTCAGAACATTGCTAAGCTGAGCAGGATACCTGATTGGAATGGAAACACAGTGGTGCAGACATACAACCCCCTCGCTAGCCCCTTGAGGCAGGGAACTGAGAGGGATACCTGGGTCTTTGTGGGAATAAGAACTGAAGATGGTTAGGGAGCTACGGTAAGACAATAGGTTCAGCTTAAACTGCCTGCTCCAGCCTCAGAAGGGAGTAGCAGCCTCTACCGAGTGTGCTCACCTCTGCAGCACAGTTAGTCACTGTGATGAGCGTTCTTCAGGGAATACAGGACGTGGGGTGTGTAGAGTGGGGTGGAGAGATCTGTACCACATGTCTTTCAAGGAGTTTTGGTTTATTTGAAATTAATTACTCGACTCTTTTTACAGCCCAGCCATCCAATCAGTCTCCCATGTCTTTAACATCTGATGCCTCATCCCCAAGATCTTATGTATCTCCAAGGATAAGCACACCTCAGACTAACACAGTCCCTATCAAACCCTTGATTAGTACTCCTCCTGTTTCGTCACAGCCAAAGGTACGTCACCTTTGAGGGAATGTGGTCTGAAGACACTACTTACTTTTGGAAAGTCAGTAACATTTTAGAGTCTATATTGTAGAGATGAAGATAATAGTGGAACGAATACACAGGATTGGTAGTAGATGCAGGAGAGGAAACTTGAGTCAATGTTAACTTTCAATGCTGCCTGACTCTTCCCTGTTTGGCATCGACAGTGCAATGAAGAGGATATACTGAGTCTTAGCGTGAGCAGAACGCTCAGACTGAAGTACGTGAAAAGAGTGTTTGCCAGTGGCTCGTTTCACAATTTTACTTTAGAAATGAGTCCATTTGTCTAAAAGCTTTGTATACCATATTTAATTTTTTGATACCATGAACATCACATTTGACAGGTAAAATTAAACTGAGCCAAACTAAGTCTGGCTTTTGTGGTGATTAGAATTTGGAACCTGGGTCTTTCTGAATACTTAACCCATCTTACTAAGCAACACTGCCCGTGTTTGTCTAAGCAGAATTTTAGAACACAGAGTGTTGCTCATCTGTCACTGGACTGAGCAAGAGCCTCAGCAGTGTTCTCCAGTTTGCACTGTGTCACCACCTGAGTCTTGGGCACAACTTCTGTATAATCAACACCAGTTGCACTCATTCTGTGCTCTTTAACAGAACATCTGGGAAACAACACTCTTTCATAAGTTGTGATTTTCTTTTTCTTTTTTAGTATGCATGAAACTGGACCTTCAAACTTTTTAATGCTGAAAAATTCTTTATTCAAATAAGAGCTTAATGAGAATCTTAGAAGTAAAATTATATTGCATTCTGTCTTGAAGGCCAGCTGTTAGGTCTTCAGATTTGTTCATCCTTTGCATTCCTCAGCCATTAGACTATGCATGTTTCAGGGTCCAGATTGATTTTTTTTTTTTTAATACCAGTTTATAGTTGTCTGTTTGCAGTTATTATTTGTCTACATTTTGATGGGGTACTAGTTAGATATGAGCAAAACAGGCCTTATTCTTAGAGCTTAGTACAACTTGTGTTTAAGGTGATATTTTAAAAGGGCAATAAGTGTAGCTCAGAGTGAGTAAGTGGCGGAATCAGTTTTATATAGTCATAAAATCGACATTTCAAATCCCTGAAGCAGATAACTGTCAGTTTTTCAAACTAATTCAACATTTGAGTTTACATAGAACTTTTCTTTATAAAACTTACCCAGTGTTCTTTATAAAAAGGATGAGAACTTTTGGTTAGTCAGAAATAGGCCGGCCGGGTGCGGTGGTGTGGCACACACCTGTGGTCCCAGCACTCGGGAGACTGAGGCAGGAGGTTGAACTACATAGTGGGACCCTGTCAACCAAAGAAAAGGTAACTCAGAAGAAGCAGTGCTATCCAGATTTGTTTAGGAGAATTTTTTAAAAATAAAAATTGACTAAGCCCCAGTATAGTGACTGCATTTATAATCATACTTCTAGTGTCCCTACCTGGTCAGTCATTCCCAGGTTTTTTGTTGCTTTTTGTTTTTTTCTTAGCTATTTTCATAAATCAACTAGAGAAGAAACAGTGAGAACATCAGTCTCTCCTTGGTGTATTTTTAATATATAAAGACTGATGACTTCTCAACATTCACAGTGAATGAACTTCAGTGGGCTGTTGTAAATCAAACATCACATACAGTGATTCGGTGGAGTCAGTATTTCTTTTCCCATTTATGTAAAGCACACACGGAGAGCTCCAGGCTGGAGATAGGAAAAAGCTATGCTCTTGGAGAATGTTACCAGTTCATAAAAGGCTCTCTGCTTTCTGCCTTAATTAATTTACAGCTTATATTTATTACATTTATGCTTTGTTTTCTCTGGCTATCACATGAGAAAGTAAATAGCATGTGATCCTCATTGGCTGGTCTACGTCTATGGTATCGCCTTTTGGAGGCCTCTCAAGTTGAATTGTGTGCATACAGTTCATCTATACTTTTTTTTTTTTTTAAGTGTGATTGAAATCTAAGCATCTGCATTTGTATAACATAACAGATGCATGTTGATGTGGAAGTGATGTAGTGATGTAAATCAGGAGAAATTACAGTGCATTGGGAAGTACACTGCTAAAAAGCAGAACAATTTTTCTCGGTCTGGTGACAGTACATATCTCTGTAGCCTTTAGGCTGTTGTACAGAGAACAGTAGATGTGCTTCACAATGTAACTTCATCTTATTGGGACCTTTGGCAAGATCTTTGATTCCACTTCATGAAAACTCTAGATTTTACAGTGTTTAAGGCTATTAAATATATGGAGAGTAGTAATTCACATGAATGTTTATGTCATTTTCTCTCATTTCCACGCGATTTGCCTGTGACAACCCTGTCTCACCAGCTTTTGACATTTTAGGTTAGTACTCCAGTAGTTAAGCAAGGACCAGTGTCACAGTCGGCCACACAGCAGCCTATAACTGCGGACAAGCAGCAGGTTCATGAGCCTGTCTCTCCTCGAAGTCTTCAGCGCTCCAGGTGGGTTTCTGTTGTGTGCTGTACTTCACTCTTTTCCATAGTATGGCGTGCCACTTTGTTTGTGTTATTTATGTATGTGTTACATGGAACTTTGAAGAATCCGAGGACAGCCTAATTTTAATTTTGTTTAAAAACTGACAAATCTTCTATACAAGAAGTCTAATAATTAAGCCTTTAAAAAATGAAGCCTGGGTTATTTTGATACAAGCTTTTTTCATTTAAAATTTTATGTGGTATAGTATATATTGGGACTAAAAATGCTACTACAGTATTTTGTTGTATCACTTACACAGCAATTTTGGCAATTCCAAAGTCTACAGTTGGAGCAGTGCTCCCAGCTGATGGACCCCCAAGCTTTCCTGATGGCTTCCTCTCTGACCCTGTACACATTGCTCTTCATGTTATGTAGCACTGTGTTGTGTTTTCATTTCTTGTTGTTTGTTAATGATACACCTTGGGAAGAAATTTGTTGAATGTTTTTCATGTAATTTTCCTATTTTTGTTTCATACTGTGAGGTGGCAAAATAATTCAACTGATGTTTTTATTGTTGTTTTTGAAACAAACATTTCAGACCTTACACCTCCAAAGGGGAGTTGTTCCCTTCTAAATAATCACCTTGGGAAGCTGTCTGCTTACTCCAGCAATGTCGCCATTGCTCGAACATTTTTGGGAAATTCTTTTAAATTGTCTTTAGAAGCTGCAGTATTATTTTAAATATACTCAGTGATGAAAACTCTTTCATCCTTTGGGAGATTTTGTTTTTGGAAATAACTGAAACTCATTCGGAGCCAAGTCTGGTGACACTGGTAGGAAATCCTTGGGTGATTACATTCTTGTTCTTGCCACCACATCCCCACACCCTGGCCCAAACCATTGACTTTTAAAAGAAGATAACCAATCTCAACATTTTTGGCCTTATTTTGCCACTGTATTCATTCAGTACTATCTGATTTTAAAGTGCCTATGTTTTGCTTCACATTTCACACAATATTCAGATGTGCCTTATATCTACAGCTGTTGAAATACAACCTTTTTATATAACATGACCCTTATTTCTTGTTAGTGTCTGCAGTATACAGTCAACAGGTTCTGCTGTCGAATTTGGAGAATATATAATTATTTTAAATTTGACTTTGACAGTAGTGTTGGAAGGGTTCTTTTTTTGTTCCCCAGAGGGTATTGAGGAAATGCATGATACAAATATACTTTGGATTGGTAATTCTATTTATCTGATATTAGAATAAAGTTATACGAATTTGTGTATTTTTTTAAATTAATACACATTACTAACAGGCAATTTCTACAATACCTAAAAATTACCTTTAAATAAATTATTTATAATTTTGTTATTCTCTACTAGTAGCCAGAGAAGTCCATCCCCTGGTCCAAATCACACTTCGAGTAGCAATGCATCGAATGCAACAGTTGTACCCCAGAACTCATCTGCCCGCCCTCCATGCTCCTTAACACCTACACTAGCAGCACATTTCAATGAAAATCTCATAAAACACGTTCAAGGCTGGCCTGCAGACCATGCAGAGAAGCAGGTATGTTGCAGGATTCGTGACGTGCTTTATCATTGAGTGACTAGCAGTAAAAAGCAGAGTTCCACTTTCAGAAAATCTAACTGGGACTCCTGAATTCGAGCTGTATATATAGCTTTTCTAACTTTACTTCTGTATTCATTCTTTAAAATACTAGTTTGTAAGCTAAAAGTTTATAACAATTTTGCTTGGAGATGAGACTTCTGCACATTTCACTTACCTGCCTTTTACCACTGTTTATTAGGTAGCTGATCATCTGTAAGGTCTAAAACTTCACAGAAACCTCATGTGATCTATGTATGCATGTTTAATGTAGAAATACAGTACATCTTTTGTTTTGTTTTGGTAGTGCTAGGGATTGAACCCAGGGCTTCACACATGCTAGTGCATGTGTTCTGTTAATGAGCTGCAGCCCGGCAGCAATACTATGTCTGAACTCTCAGAGTGGCAGTTCTGTTCAGTGTCCTGGCATCTTTCATTCACCACAGATTGTGATAGTGTTAAACTGTCCTGTGATGAGAAATGTTATTTACTTAGGAAACCTCGAAAGGAAGTCAGGTAAACTACCTTCTAACCAGTAGAGGTAGTTGCTAAAAATCATTTTTCCTCTTAGATGCCCCACCATTTTCTAACATTTATTGTAAAAGTTTATTCTGTAATCTTACTATGAAATTCTTCTTGGAAATGTCATGTTTTGTGTACATTAATATTATTTGTAGTATATTTTTGTAATCTATATGAAATTCTTCTTGGAAATGTAATGGTTTTTTGTACATAATTATTTGTAATATATTTTGTGTAATCTTTATTTTTTTAATTGTAGGCATCGAGATTGCGTGAAGAAGCCCATAACATGGGAAGTGTTCACATGTCAGAAATTTGTACTGAATTAAAAAATTTAAGATCTTTAGTCCGAGTATGTGAAATTCAAGCAACTTTGCGAGAGCAAAGGTAGGTTTTATGTTCTGTAGCATTAATGTAGACTAGTGCCTTTTACTTGTTCAGTGTTGTGCTTTCCGAGAACCTGCTGGATCCTAAAGCCATAGGTAGTACCAGGCCTCATAGTCTAATGCATTTTCCATCTTTTTTTTTGTGCTGGGGATCGAACTTGGGTCCTTGAGCTTGCAAGCAGGCAGAGGAACCACTGAGCTAATCCCTAGCTCTTCTTTTTTTGTTCTTTTCTTTGGTACCGAGGATCAAACTTGGGACCTTTGTTTGTGCGAGGCAGGCAGCAAAACCACCGAGCTAAAATTCTGGTCCACATTTCAAAGCACATACATGTAGTGCTGTGGCTTGTAGCTTTTCCGATTTCAGGTGCAGCAGTGAAACTACCATGAATTTCTTGCTTCAGAATTTCATTAGAAGTTTTGTTCTTAGTATAGATGTTAGCAGCTTTGGTGTGCAGCTTTTTTCTTTGGTCATTAGGTTGAGAACTTAGACCTTTTCACTTCAGCATGTTGCAGCTTCTCTGGCATGTTGGAATTGCTAGCATCCTCGCTGTTGTTTTCTTAGGCCCTTATTTTGTGAAATAAGGGGTTCAAACACAGACACTCTTGCTGTAATAGTTTGACAACCAGGGCTGCTACTAGGTGACTGCTGAGTAGGCCATGTGCAGCATGTTTGTCCTGGATGAAGGGATGGGTCAGAGGACAGGGAGCAGCTGGGTCTCACCACTCAGCACAGAGTGGAGTATAAGATTGAGGGATTCTTCCTGGAATTCATCGTTTTTTAACTGCAAGTACCTGAAACCACAAAGAGAGAAACAGTAGGTACAGCAGGAAGGCTTGGGGTTGGGCAGTGGGGATCAAATTCAGGACCTTGCTTTTTGAGAGGCAGGCACATTGTGAGCTCCATTCCTGGCCCTGGACACAGATTTTATTTTCTGTATGAAATTTATCTAAAATTCTTTTTGATCATGTTTTGTGTCTGTATAATGAGTGATGAAACATTTAATTGCTTTTTTTAAGCCTTTTTTCCTTATAAATTACAGTTACATTACTTTAAAAGTGAATTGTTGACAGCAGCTAATTACAACTCGATTGGAGATCATTGCTGTGCTGGTGAGGGTGTAGCTGAGATTTCACATTGCTGGTCCTTTTACCCTCACATCACCTATGTAGATCCCTTGCAAATTATGGTTTGGAAATTTTGGTTTGGTAGTTGGTGTTGTTTTGGTTTTGGTTTCTTGAGACAGGGTCTTGCTGTGTGTTCAGGCTGACCTCAGACTCACTATGTAGCTAGCCCTAGCTGGCCTCAAAATCATGGCAGTCTGGGATTACAGGCATGCACCACCATGCCTGTTGTTGGTCGTTGGTGCTTTATTGAGGTGGCATATTTACTACCCTGCTTTTTTCTACTAATGTTTAGCTTGTATTTCATTCAAGTAAAATATCTGCACCACATTATAGCTTAGATATATTTTTTTAATTCCTATTACAAAATTGAGGGCAAACTTGAGTTGCTTTTATTACATCCTATGTATAGTATATCACTGGATTCAGGGAAGAGTTAAGCTTGTCATGAAACTGTAAATATTTACTAAATACCAAATTTATAGATTTGTAGCAAACTTGGAAGAACTGTTTCTTTTTCAGTTCTGAAATTTTTCTTTGTTTTTTTAAATATCAACTGGGATCTTTTAACTTTAGGATCTGGAAATAGTTTTGACATTTAAAAAAAAAAACTCCAATTTAAAAAATTACACTGTTCACTTTGTCTTAAAGAAAACAGTCCACATGGTCAGATAGCAGTCTGGTGTATAATTATGCCTTAATTCACTGGTATCAGAGATAGTAAATACCACAGTTTACAGAACAAAAGGAAGGATTTCATAGTCTGGGAGGATAGTTAACTGCAGAGTTTATATTTTATATTTTCTGTTAAACATACATAACTTACCAGTTAGAGTTGACTTGGTTCCATTTAGAAAACACAAAACTAGACAATGCAGCTATGGATTGAACCTAGGGCCTCAAGCACATTTAGCATATGCTCCGCCTGTGGCACAGGCCAGCCCATGTTCAGGCTTTAATTGACATGATTGTGTGGTGCACTCTGGACTTTAAATGCATGTAGATCTGTATACTGGCAGAACCACTGAGCTAAATCCCCAGCCCAGATATAATTTCTTTGTGTTGGGAACATTCAGAAGCCTCTTCACTTGCCAATTCAAAATAATAAAATTGTTGTCTATAGTTTTCTCAGCTTCGTTTTTATGTATCTACATTGAATATTGCTCAAGTTGATTAGACTCTTACACTTAGTAAACTATCAAATCTTACTTAACATTACAGGCCAGAACATGTGTAGTATGGTTTTATCTTAAATCAGTCCTTGTATCTATAGTAATCATTGAGAAATTGTTAGAAAACTAAGAAATATTACATCTTTTTATCATTGTGATGCTGGTCATGCATTACAGGTAATTGTCTTAACTATAAACTGATACAGATTTAATTAGTATAGTTATATTTTCAGTTTGTTTTTTCTGTAGTGTATGTTCACACAGATTCTGATGTCTGCTTTTATTTTTCAGGATACTGTTTCTGAGACAACAAATTAAGGAACTTGAAAAGCTAAAAAATCAGAATTCCTTTATGGTGTGAAGATGTGAATAATCACATATGGTTTTGCATACAGGAACTATAAATCTGTTGCCCAGTCTTAACATTTTTGAGCTGCATTTAAGTAGACTTTGGACCGTTAAGCTGGACAGAGAAAATGACAAGGGGATGATAGGGTCTGTGACAGTTGATTCAGGGGAAAGATACAGATTGATCTGTAAAACCCTTGAAATGTAGATTTCTTGTAGATGTATTCTTCACGTTGTAAATATGTTTTGTAGAGTGAAGCCATGGGAAGCCATGTGTAACAGAGCTTAGACATCCAAAACTAATCAGTGCTGAGGTGGCTAAGTACCTAGCCTTTTACATGTAAAACTGTCTGCAAAATTAGCTTTTTTAAAAAAAAAAAAAAATTGGGGGGGTTAATTTATCATTCAGAAATCTTGCATTTTCAAAAATTCAGTGCAAGCGCCAGGTGATCTGTGTCTAAGGATGCAATTTTGAACCATATGGGCAGTGTACAAAATATCATGAAACAGCTGTTTCCACCTGCACCTGA